CATTGTGGTCCCTGTCATTCCCTGTTTTCCTCAGTTTTTCTTCTTTCCTTTCCTCTTTTGCTTTTTCAGTTAGACTTTGATTAATGCCTGTCAGGGTGGAGGTCCAAGTTCCTGGTTGCTTTCTTCTGGTTGTGTCCCCCCTCTTAGTATTCTTTGTAATGCTGGCTTAATGTTTATGTATTCGTTTAGTTTTTCTTTGCTATTAAAAAAATTCAGTTCTCCATCGAATGTGAATGCTAGCTTTGCCGGGAATATCAGTCTGGGTTGGCAGTTATTGGCTCTCAGGGCTGGTATGGTACTTTTCCAGGCTTTTCTTGCATTCAGTGTTTGTGTGGAGAGATCTGCAGTGATTCTTTTTTTTCCCATTGTTTTTTTCTTCTTCATTTTTGCTGCATGCAAGATTGTTTCCTTATTATTCAGATCTATCGTTTTTACTATGATGTATCTAGAAGTGTTTCTCCTGGGATCTTGCTTTTTGGGTGTTCTATATGCTCTGGTAGGTAGGTAAGATGTTCTTTTGTGAGGTGGGGAAAATTTTCACCGATTATCTTGTTGAATAGGTGTTGCATTCCCTTGCTTTGAAATTCCTCAGCTTCATCAACTCCAATTATAAGAAGGTTAAATTTCTTGGCATTATCTGTTTGCTCTTGAATGTCCCTTTGGCTTAATTTGAGTGATTTTTTCATATCTGTCAGTTTTTTGGTCCAGTTGGTGTATTCTGTCTTCTGTATCTGACACCCTACATTCCATTTCGTTCACTCTGATAACTTTGGCTTCTATTGTGGTTTGCATGGAGGAAATGGACTCCTTTATGGATTCGATGTTGGTTCTCAAAGTACTGATCTCACCTCTTAATGAGGTATGTACTGCCTCTAATTTGGCATTTATCTCACTTCTGAGGTTTGTGCTGCCTCTATTTTGCATGCATCTCCTGTTTGATATCCTGTATCTCTTTTGATAGTTCATCGTTGTGCTCTTTCAACTTCTGGTTTATTTTGCACTTTATTTCTTGAATCATTGCCTCCAGCATCCCTTGGATGTAGCTTTTGTCTTCCATTCCTGCTTTGCTCCCACTGGGCTCTCCCCTGCTTGTCTGCTGGCTATTGAGGATAGCTTGCTTTCCTGGTGTTGATAAACCTTGTAATTTTTCTCTGTGATTTTCACATGGGGGTTCGGGGATTATTGGAGAGAGTATTGGTAGAGAGAGTATTGGTAGAGGCAGTCTGTGCGTGATCTGGATTCTGTTGGGGGCCTACCTCCAGCTGCGGGTCTGACCTACATAGGATTCTCGGTTCTCTGCTGTAACTCACTGGCAATTCCCGCCTTTGGAAGGGGTGAGCAGCCTAGACTGTTCCTGATTGCTCCTAGGGTGCTCTTGACAAGATCGGATGATCTGGATGCACTCTCCCAGATGCTGGAGTTTGCTATGGGCTCCTGATGTTTTGTTTTGTTTTGTTTTGGCCGGGTGTGGGCTTGAACTCTGGGTTTGGGTGCTGTCCCTCAGCTCTTCAGCTCAAGGCTGGCACCCTACCATTGGAGCCCCATTTCTGACCCTTTCTGCTTATGTGATGCTGAGGAATCAGATCTAAGGCCTCATGCACCCAAGACAATCACTGTACTGCTGAGCCACCTTAGAGCCTGAGCTCCTGCCTACTATCAGGTGCTGGTGGCCTGAGTTGCACAATTCCCAGCCTAGAGTATTAGGGTTGGGTTTTGGTGGGGTTTGGGCTTCTCTTGTCCTGAGCCTCCAGAACTTTTGTTGTCACAGGTGTGCTTCCCAAGGGGGACAGTTCCCTGTTTTTCTCCCTCAGCTGAGACGTATGCTCAGTTTGTGACTTCAGTTGGGAGGAGTTGGTTGCGTTGTTCAGGCATTGGAACCCCAGGCCTGGTCCCAGCCCCCTGCCTGGGCACGCCAGTTGGGCCAGTGCTGCTATGTATATGACCTAGGTTATGCAGCCTGGGGTACACAGTCCAAATTTCTTCTACTGTTGGTTGTGTTGACCCAGGGGTGTTGTTCCTGGCGTGGGAGTTTAAGCTCCCTTCAGGGGTGCTCTTGTTCTAGCCTGGCCAGTGGAGTGTACTCCATGGGCTGGTGGAGCTCTCCAACAGTTCCCAGTTTTAGTGGGTCCTGTGATCCAGGTGTCGGGGTAGGGAGTCTTGGTCAGAGTATGGGGATTCCCTCCAGCTCTGGTCTCCCTTGAGGGATATACTGTCCCCTGTGGGGTATTCACTCTGGAGCTAGTTGTTTCTATGCAGTGTGTGTCATTGGTTGCTGTTGCAATCCGAGTTCAGTTGGGGTGGTTGCAGGCTGAGCTGGGTGGTGGTGGCTCTGTGTGATTCTCTTCTGTCTCTGCCTCTGTACATGCTGTCTGGTCCACAGTGTAGACGCCATGGTCGAGGGGTGGGGACTGGGCCTCCGTACAGGTTCTGGGCATTGGGGTTTGCACTCTCCAGATCAGCACCAGTTCCTTGTAGGTCTTTTGCTTTGGTGTTCTGTGGGTGTCTTGTGTAGCTCTGGGGGCCCCCATCGTGGGGCTGAATTCCGGGCTCAGGGGTTTCTCTGTTTATCGCAATCGGTGGGTCTGAAACTGGTACCAGGTGGCTTCTGTGCGAGATATCTGCAGATAGCTCCCTGTGTCTCTAGGACCCTGGCAGCCCTGCCGGTTCATCCCAATCAGCGGATCTGACACCAGTACTTCAGGCAGCTTCTGTGTGGGTGATCTGCAGGCAGACCCTTGTGTCTCTGGGACCCTGGCAGCCCCCGCCAGGTCGTTGCAATCAGCTGGTCTGACACCATACCTCAGGGGCTTCTGTGTGGGTTATCTGCACACAGCTCGCTGTGTCTCTGGGACTCCAGCAGCCCCACCAGGCTGGCTGGCAGTGGCTTGACACATTGCAGGTGCTGGATGGCTTTGGCGGTATGGAACCTCTCTTCTCTGATGGAGAGTGAGGTGTGGTGGTGGGATCTTCTGGGAGATGCCCGGCTGGTAGGTTTCTCTGTTCCTGGCGATCAGCGGGTATGAAAAACGGTACCTCAGGCGGCTTTTGCGTGGATGATCTGCAGGCAGCCCTCTGTGTCTCTGGGACTCTGGCAGGCCCCGGCAGGCCAGCTGGCCAAGGCTTGGCAGGTTCCTATGCGGCCAGTAAAAATTAGGGGATGGAGTCTTTGCTCTTTTCTGTTCTGAAATTCTGCTTTTCCTGTCTTTCTTTTTTGTTATTTTCCACCTCTTGTTTTTCTCTGAGTGTTCGTCTTTTTGTTGTTGTTGATCTCTTGGGGAGCTTAAGCGTTGGAACTCAAACTCTCTTTTTGGTTAGGGAGAGCTGTGGCATTTCCCTACTGCCCTGTCACTAGCTTGGTCTCTTGCTTGACATTTTTTGTGGCTCACTCCTGGCATTTTTCATGAAGGAATGGCACTCTACTCCTTGATCCATGCCTCCAGCCCAATACTTTGCTGGCTAATTGGAGATCATGTCTGCCAGACATTTCTGCCTGGGTTGGCTTCAAACCTCAGATCCTAGTCTCTTGTATAGATAGGATGAAGGTCTTAAACCACTGGGATTTAGGTATTTTGTGTGTGTGTGTGTGTGTGTGTGTGTGTGTGTGTGTGTGTGTGTGTGTGTGGACTGTCTTGGGAATTGAATTCAGGACCTGGGCACTGTCCTAGAGACGCTTTTGCTCAAGGCTAGCACACTACCTCATGAGCCACAGCTGTTCTTCTGGATTCTTAGTTGTTCATTGGAGATGAGTCTCATGAATTTTCCTGCCTGGGCTGGCTTTGAACCATGATCCTCAGATCTAAGCCTCCTGAGTAGCTGGGATGACAGGTGTGAGTTCTGGCACAAGCCTCAAGTATTTATTTTTACCTCCACTGAAATTCTGGTTAAATCATGCGACCTTTAAGAAGCTGGCCCAAGCAGGAAAGTCCGTGAGATTCTGATCTTCAATGAACTTGCAGAAAACCAGAAGTGAAGCTGTGGCTCAAGTGGTAGAGCACCAGCATTGAGTGAAAGAAGCTCAGGGACAGTGCCCAGGCCCTGAGTTCAAGACGAGGACTTGTACAAATATATATATATATAAACATGCACACACACACACACACATATATATATATACACCTATATACGTGTATATATATATATATATATATATATGTATATATGTATATATATACATACACACACAAACATACATACATATTCTGCCTTCCTAAGGGCAATAAATAAATTTTGGGATAAGTTAATATTTTTAAGACAAGACTCATTCTTTTGTTCTACATTAAAAGTGAAAATTTCCGGTTAGATGGATTATTTATTTTTATTGTATTATAGCTTATTCCTTAAAATATTGTTTTCATTATTACATGAATGGTTGCAATGATCTTCCCCCCTGATTGCTCTCAAATGAACGCAATAACAAACTAAACGTAGCCAACTCAGTTTTTATAATGAACAATTAGAAAGCTAATGATTGGTGACCAGGAATATGGGAGTGGAAAATAAAGCAACTCGCATTCATGTATTTGTTTTTAATTCTGGGACTGAAATGAAAAGTCTACTATCATTCCAAAGAGCACGCAACTGCATAAATGCTACATGTTCATTTGCAAATTTATCTTAATGGGAAATAATTTTAGGAGATCAATTTTCGAACAAGTAAAACACAAGAACATGTCTAATAATTGAGGACAGCATGAAATGGGTCTCTATTTTCTTTTTCTGTTTCTGCCTGCCTAATCAATGGCTGAATGGGAAAAGAAAATTGCTAAAAGTGTTTTGCTTTAAGAGCCAAAGCCTTCTTTCTGTTCAGGATAGACTCTTGGGACAGATTGAACAGTGTTGAAGAAGAACATGGTGTTGCTAACACATAGGAGAAAGAAACCTCACCCAAACCCATCAGCATAGCTTTTCCTTTGGTTCAAAGACAAGCATGAGAGATAAAACATCCTAAAAGTACAATGTCTTTAGGAAAAGGAAACAAAAACATACAGTATCTTACTCCAGGAGAGTTACTGTTGGAATCTGCTTCTTAAGTTGGCTGTGAAGTTTGGACAACTGATCAAATGATTTTTCCATTAGGTGGATTTCCTTGTTAATATCAATCACTTGGATCAGATAAAGCTGCAGTAAAATAAGCAGGGAAAAAAAAGAAATCAAAATTAAAGTCAGAATCAAAAGATGGCCATGGAGCCGGCCACTAGTGGTTCACACCTGTCATCCTAGCTAGGAAGGAGGTTGAGATCTGAGGATCATGATTCAAGGCCAGCCCTGGGTGGGAAAGTCTGTGAGATTCCTATCTCCCATGAACCAGCAGAAAACCAGAAGTGGAGCTGTGGCTCAAGTTGTAGAGCACCAGCCTTTAGTGAAAGAACTCAGGGACAGCGCCCAGGCACAGAGTTCAAGTCTCACAATTGAAAAAAAAAGATGTCACCTGTAATCCATTTCTTTTCATGTGTGTGCCAGTCCTGGGACTTGAACTGAGGGCTTGAGAACTATCCCTGAGCTTGTTTTTTGCTCAAGGCTAGCGCTCTGCTAATTGAGTCACAGCTTCACTTCTGGCTTTTTCTGTGTATGTGGTGCTGAGGAATCAAACCCAGGTCTTCATGCATGCTAGGGGAGCACTCTACCACTGAGCCACCTGCCCAGCCCACTGCTGTGACATCCTGATCTCCAGTTAGCTAGCAAAATGCTAGAATTGGAAGTGTGGCTTGGGTGGAAGAGCATTACCCTTAGGCAAAACAAATCTAAAACAAACAAAAACTCCTAAGCTAGACTATGCGGCCCTGGGTTCTGATCTCAGCCATCTGAGCAGCTGGTGGGACTTGAACTCAGGGCCTGGGCTCCGTCCCTGAGTTCTTCAGCTCAAGTCTGGTGCTCTACCACTTGAGCCACAGCACCACTTCCAGTTTTCTGATAGTTCATTGGCAATCAGAATCTAATGGACTTTCCTTCCCAGTCTGGGTTTGAACCATGAACCTTGAGATCTCAGCCTCCTGTGTACCTGGGATGACAGGTATGAGCCACCAGCAGTGTTCAGCTTAAAGCATCAAGTTGTAACTCAGTTTTCATTTGCACAGTGAAAAATCTGGGGACGGGAAAAGACTGGGTGGCTACCAGAAGGATGGGCTTTCGGTCTACATGGTGGAGGCTAGTCTTGCTGAACCCCAAAATTGTTACTTGCCGAATCATCCAGGCAGTGTTTGGCACCCAGGATTCCTGGGGTGGTGAGTGTGGGGTTGATTTGGTGGGATGGACGGCTGCCATTTGTACAAGAATGTGGATCAAGTTGTTTGGCTTCACCGGGAAGCAGTCCAGGCTCTCCTTTATCATCCTGGAGACAGGAGACACAAAAGGAAAAGAAAACAGAAAAACAATAGCCGCAAGTCAAATCCCCTGGCGAAAGCGAGTCTTGTGTGCAATTTGTGTCCTTGTGCTAGGTAGATGTGTGTGTGTGTGTGTGTGTGTGTGTGTGTGTGTTGGGAGTGAATATGAGCCATCTGTGTTTATTTAGAACACAATTATGAAAAATATATGTATTTGTTTCTGTTTTTTTTTTCCCTCTTGAACTTCAAATTCTCTGGAGAATTTGTTGTATAGATGAATTCATGATTCAAGATAACAGAACTTTAATGGCCAAGTAGTATGCAGACTTTTCTTTTCTATATTGGGACTTTGATTTTGTTTTTCTTAACATTGATGTGATACATTTAGAAATTGATTTTTTTTAAATAGAAGCCCATTCTTGTTATAACTGTTGGATATATTTTTGCATACATCCAGAAGTTAATCAGGTATGTTCAAAGAGGTTTAGCTGGTGGGACATATTATATTCTGTTCATTTCCTACTATTTTTCTGGAATTTTCACTTTGCCAGTGTGTTTGTGTGTGTGTGTGTGTGTGTGTGTGTTTGTGTGTGTTTGTGTGTGTGTGTTTGTGTGTGTGTGTGTGTTTCTGTGTGTATGCCAGTCCTGGCGCTTGAACTCAGAGCTTCAGTGCTCTCTCTGGGTATCCTTTGCTCAAGGCTGGCGCTCTACCACTTTAAACCACAGCTCTACTTCTGGCTTTTTCTGGTTTCCAAGTTGGGGTATCTAGGCCTTCAGAATTCAAGCGAGGAAGCTGCTGAATCTCCAGCCTGTATCACTGCAGGTCTTTAAGTGTGGGGACAAGATTTCGCAGCTCTGTTGCTCTCATTACATTTTCTAATGGAAATACCTGGAAAACATTGGTCCTAGCCGGGCACCAGTGGCTCATGCCTGTCATCCCAGCTACTGAGGAGGTTGAGATCGAAGCATCGAGGTTCAAAACCAGCCCAAGCATGACAGAGACTTGAGACACTTATCTCCAGCCTGGAGACATGTTTCAAGCAGTAGAGCACCACCCTTGAATGAAAAAGCTAAGCAAGATGTTGAAGCCCTGAGTACAAGCCCCAGTATTGGCAAACACACACATGCATGTGTACACTCACCCACACATCTTAATGTGCAACAACAGAAAAATCAATGATCTTATAGTAATTCGAGTTATTGAAGAAGTGGCACTGTGGTTCAAATTATAGAGAGCTATCCTTGAGAAAAAAAACCTCAGGCATAGCTCCCAGGCCCTGAGTTCAAATCCCAGGCCCAGCACCCACCCAGAACATTAATCATTAAGGCTATTGAGACAAAAATATGTATTTCAAAGTAGCCAGTCACTTCAGTTAAGTCATCATACCGTAGCAATGGTAGGCACTGCATAGTTAAGAAAGATCCAGAGCCCATGCCCAGATTTGTCCTGTAGCTAGAAGCAGACCAGACTCAGAGACACGGGTCATTCATCTTTTAGCCAATGAGTGCTGGAATTCTTCATAGGTCCATTAAACTTTGCAAATGCTTTTAACCTGTAGACTGATCGCATCCCAAAGCACTCTTCATGGCTTTCTGTATTGCTTCATATTCTGCCTTGATATTTAGTCCAAAATTAAGCAGCTCAGAAACTTTGGTAATTCAGAACATTCTATGGTAGAAATGCAGAACAGCTAGCCAGCTATTCAACAACATAATGAGAACTACAGTGAGGACTGGGCAGGTTGTTCATGGTAGAGTGCTCATGCATGAGGCCTTGGGTTCCATTCCTCAGTACCACACACACACAGAAAAATCCAGAACTGGCGCTGTGGCTCAATCAGTAGAGTATCAACCTTGAGCAAAGGAAGCTCAGGGACAGTGCCTAGGCCCATAATTCAAGACCCACAGCCACCAAAACAGCATGACAGACAGACACCAATAACTCAAGCCTGTAATCCCAGCTGCTCTTGAGGCTGTGGATCAGAACACCAATATGTCCAGGAGACTCAATCTCCAACTGGTTAGCAAAAACAGGACTGGAGCCATGATTTCGGAAACAGAGCAATGACTGAGCAAACAAGCAGAGAGGACTGGCAGGTTTAAGTTCAAACCCCAGCAACCAGCAACAGAGCAATAGGATAAAATGAATTCTTCTCTCATCTTGTTTATCACAGCATTTTTTGAAGATGGAAAATAGGCCAGAAATGACATTCTATGTCCTCAAGTAGAAAAGGTCGAAGGTATCTTGTACTGTCACCTGCATCATGACAATGGTGGTATTTCCCAAGACTGACTTAATTAAAAAAAAAAAAAAAGAAACAAACAAACAGAAAAAGAGGCTAAATGATGAAAAAGACAGCCCCGGGTCGTTGACCGAATGGCCAACTGTTTGCATTGTCTTTCAGAAGAAAGCAGGGAGTGCATCATTTTCCCATCATAAATCTCTTTCCTCCAAATTGTTTTTTCTGGATAGAGTTCAAGTGGAACAACTGATTTATTTTTATTTATTTATTTATATTTGTCAGCTCTTTGCTCATTCCAATTGCCTTGAGCTGAGCAATCTGCTAGATGTAAAACTCTGTTGAAACAACAAAAGCCCTGCTATGGAAAAAACAAAAAACAAAAAAAAACAAAATCATGCTCAAAATCTGTCTGCAACACAAGGCCATCCCTCTGTCTCTGACCTCTGGAATTGAAAACACAACTGACCACCAAGAAATGCAGCTTCCTCCCAGGGAACTGGGCAGCCCGAGCCTTCCTCATAGGCTAGACTGTGTACCAGCTCAGGTGCACACACCTGTAGTCCTCGTGCATAGAGTCCTTACCTGGTAAAGTAATTGGTGGCTTCCAGGTCAGAGTCTTGAGCGCGGAGATTATCATAGATGTATTTCAAGTCTTCTGGTCCTCTGAGCTCAGGTAATCTTGCATATAACATCTCATCCCAAACAAATGGACAAACAGAAAACAAAGAAGCAAAAAACACTAGCGGAAATAAAATTCACCCAGTTCATTGGGCCAATAGATGAATAAACTTTGAGGTTTATGGACGTTTGTGGATGTGAAAGAAAGTTCCTGCTTACAAATGGCTCGAATTTCAGAGTAGGTAGAGGCAAACGACAGGTATCAACGGTGGCTCACGCTGTCATCTCAGTTACTTAGGAGGCTGAGTTCTGAGGATCTCGGTTGGAGGCCAGGCTGGGCAGGAAAGTCTGTGAGACTCTGATCTCCAATGAGCCACCAGAAAAAGTGGAGCTGTGGCCCAAGTTGTAGAGTGCCAGCTTTGAGTGAAAGAGTTTAGGGACAGTGCCCAGGCCCTCAGTTCAAGACCCAGGACAAAAAAAAAAAAGAAACACAAAAGGAAAAAGCCAAAATACATTACACACACACACACACACACACACACACACACACACACACACTGTAACTGGCAAAATGTACGCCATACAACTGCATTTTATTCTCAGTCGCCTGAGGAATAGGTAGGGCCTGAAAGTCCATCCAGGCCAGTTTTCCCAGCTCTGCCCAGGAAAATCCCAGGGACTTTGGGGAAACCTTTCATCTCCTCACCTTTCATCATCCTCAAAGCAGGATGAAACCATGCATCTTGGGAAGATCAGATGGGCTTTATGTGCCACGCGCTGTGACTCCCCCCAAAATATACATGTCATTCATCTGAAAGAAGACAAACTAACTCTCCAGCACACCGTGCACAAGATGCAGGTATAACATGGGATGCAGGGAGTGAATACAAAGCTCATCCCTCGGCTGCTTCACCTGTGTCCTTCAGAAGAAGAGTTCAATGCCTTCCTTCCCCGCCCCCTAATTGGGCAGTGAGTGTTATTATTGTTGTTGTTATTGTTGTTGTTGTTGTTGGTAATGGTGCTTGATCTCAAGGCTTGGGTCCTATCCCTGAGCTCTTCAGCTCAAGGATGGTGCTCTACTGTTTGAGCCACAGTGCCACTTCTAGTTTTCTGGTGGCTCATTGGAGATAAGAGTCTCACAGACTTTCCTACCTGAGCTGGCTTTGAACTGTGATCCTCAGATCTGAGCCTCCAGAGTAGCTAGGATGACAAGCATGAGCCTCTGATGCCCGGCCTCAGGTAGTGACTATTAAAGCAACAAAACGATCAAAGGTATAACTGTACTGTTAATTCTCTGCCCATCTCGAGGAAGACATCTTAGTCATACTCGAAAGGGAAGGGATGCTAATCTCTTTGGTGTTGGCTTCATTTCTTTGTGGGAGAGAAAAATAAATCAAGAAATAATGGATTCTTCTAAAAACAAAATTTGAGGCCAGGTGCTGTTGGCTCATGCCTGTCTTCCCAGCTATTGAGGAGGCTGAGATCTGAGGATCACAATTGGAGGCCAGTACAGGCAGGAAAGTGAGACTAAACCTTCAAGGAACGATCAAAAAGCCAGACACAGAGCTGTGGCTCCAATGGTAGCACGCTAGGTTTGAGCGACAATACTCAGGTTCTGAGTTCAAGCCCCAGGTGTGGCATAATACATACATACATACATGCATATATATGTATATATAAATGAAAAATTATATTCTAAAGGCAAGAGAAAGCTCCTAATTTTTTCCCCCAGACATCTACCTGTGTTGTTCTTCCTTGGATGTCCAAATCTATTTTGATAGTGATGAGGAAGGAAGGAGTTATTATTATAATTTTTTAATCATGTAGAGAAATTAGAAAGAAGTCCCGTGGAGAACACACAGTACAATAATTGCAGTGATAATCACTTACCGCAAAGCCAATGATTGCTGTGTGCTCCCTGAGTAGAGATGGATTATTATTTTTATTATTTTATTTTAATACAAGAAAACCTGAAGAAGTGCAGGCTTTATATAATCGACTCAGCCACCAGATTACTCTTGGGAAAGATGGGAAATCCAGAGATAAATTTTCCCAAGAGGAAATAAAAAAATAACATGAAGCAATCACTGCCTGTATCTGGGAATAAGGTGCTTGCTTTTGAAGAACAGCCATTTGCTCAGACAAGAATCCGAGGCAGATCCAGCCAAATGAGGAAGACAGAGGGCAGGAGTGGGTCCTACAAAATAAAAAAGAGGGAGGGAAAAGAGAGAGGACGCAGGTTGGGACCGGAGGACCATGATATCAGGAGGATCGTGGATCAGGATACATTCTATTTATAATCCACTTGGTTCAAGGGCAACTCCCTTGTACATCAACTTAAAGAAAATAATAACTATTATTATGTTAATAATAATATTACATATCTCCCAAATGACTGCAATTCATAATCATCAATACAGACTGTTCACAGATGGTAGAAAGAGCCACTCACAGATCATAGCTCTTAACTGGTAAGTAAATTCTTGAGTAGTAGGTCACCGTAGTGTTAACACACATAAGAATCCGTTCAAGACAGAATGAAGGGATATGGAACTGGATGTGTAAGCAGTGAGGGAGTCACAAGACACACACATGGTTCTATTTTTATAAGGGGGTGTAACTAGAGAGTGATTAAAACTGTAAAACCTAGATAATTGCTCTGCCTCCTGGGTTCTATGAAATGTACACTGAGGGGAAAATAAAAGGGAAATAATTGAGAAGCAGTCACAATCAAGTATTTGTCCATGGCTTTCTATGTTCCTGGTTCAGGTTCTGTGGCAGCCTTAAACCTACAATCTTTCTACTGAACGTGAATTAAGGACCTTTTATTCTCCATTATTTCCCCTTTGTTTAGCAGTCAGAGTTGGTTGAATTAGGCTATACTCATACATCTGATATATTCCATACCAGAGACTTCAAAGCAGCTAAGTTTAGTTGTTGTGAGATCCCATGAGGTCCACTTCATTTAATTGTAAAGACTGTGTCTTAAAAGTGGATGTGTAATCTACAATTTCTGGCATAGTGTGAGCACTTATTAGGCTTATAGATCTTTCTAGATCTTTCTGGAATCTACCCAGACATGCTTACTTCTAAAGATAGGTCAGAGTCAATGCTACTTGGGTCATTTGTTATTTGGAGGGGAGAGAGTCAGGTGGTGGACTTGGTCCTTTTGTAAACTTTGCTTTGTGGTAAGAACAAGGCCATTATAAACCACAAAGCATTAAATTCCACATATCTGCATTATGAACAAATAGAACGGAGATCAGAATGGAGAATCAAGCAAAATTCAACATGATAATATTAGCAGATGAAGTATGAATGAGACAGTGTGTAAAGGCATTTGGGCAAAATTCTCATGCATACTGCAACTGAAGGCATTCTTTCTTTTTTATTTTTTGCCAGTGCTGAGACTTGAACTCGGGGCCTGGGTGCTGTCCCTGAGCTCTTTTGCTCAAGGCTGATGCTCTACCACTTGAGCCACAGCTCCACTTCTAGTTTTCTGGTGGTTCACTAGAGATCAGAGTTTCAGTGACTTTCCTGCCCAGAGCTGGCATCAAATCACGATCCTCATATCACAGTAGCTGGGATGAGTAGCTGGGATGACAGGAATTAGCCACCGGTGCCTGGAACATTTTTCTTTTTTTCTGTTTTCTTTTTTTTGTTAACTGCACTCCAAGGATGCTGTGAGGACTCTCAACTCACTAATTCACTAATTCACCAATTCACAATCATGGCTGTGAACAGCGATGTCTGAGACAATGGTGCATAGACATTGAAGAGTGTGTTTGTCCAGCCTGCTGTGTGCTTTTGTTTCATTTTGTCTTCAGTAGATTTGTGTGTGTGTGTGTGTGTGTGTGTGTGTGTGTGTGTGTGTGTTTAGGGAGTGGACGGGGAACTCCAAGCCCTCATTAAAAATGGACTGGTGAAAGAGAAACACCCACAACATTATTTTTGGGGGAGGGACTCTTGTGCCATCTTACAATTTCTAGAAGGTTCAGGAGCAGCCAGCTGTGCCTTCAGACAATATCGTATGCCCTGCAACAGAGCTCCACAAACTCTTGGATCTGCTGTGGGTTTTAACTACAGTCTGTGATGAAGTACTCCATTTCCGAAGTAAAGATGAAAGGGACCCCGTCCCTGGAATCAGGACACTAGAGAGCGCTCAGGTGCAGAAATGAGGGGGCTGATAAAAGTAATGCAAATCAAAACAACATTGAGATACCACCACACTCCAGTTAGAATGGCAAAAATCAAGAACTCTAACAACAACAGATGCTGGAGGGGATGTGGACAGAAGGGAACTTTACTTTATTGTTGGTGGGAATGTAAACTTGTTCAACCACTTTGGAAAGCAGTATGGAGGTTCCTCAAAAGACTTCACATAGAGCTCCCTATGACCCAGCAATCCCACTTTTGGGCATTTACCCAAATGTTTACAAACAAGACCACACTAAAGCTACCAGCACAACTATGTTTATTGCAGCATTATTTGCCATAGCTAAGATATGGAACCAACCCAGATGCCCCTCAGTAGATGAATGGATCAAGAAAATATGGTATATGTACACAATGGAAATCTATGGCTCCATCAGAAAGAATGACATTGCCCCATTTGTTAGGAAATGGAAATATTTGGAAAAAATTATATTAAGTGAAGTAAGCCAGGCCCAAAGAAACATAGTTCCCGTGGTTTCCCTTATTTGCAATATCTAGTATGTGTATGAGTCAAGCGGAAAAGGTGAGATAATGTGATGTTAGGAAAATGAACCCTTAGATATGTATTTTAATGATTTTTTTCTTTCATGCGTTTGTTTCTAACGCATTTAAATTATCTCTTTGTTGCTTTGTATGTCCCTCCCCCACAGTATAACCCCTGCTTTCACTATATTTGATGTCAGTATAACTTGTGGAGGTGATGGGGAAAAACAAGTCGTTTAAGGATACAGGTGGACCTGTTGCAACAATGAGAAGTACAAGTTGTCATGTCGAAAACGATCTTTACAACGTTGGAGCTGGGGCAGGGATGGGGGGTTGGGGGGGTAGGGAAGGGGGGAGTATTGGGTGGGGGGGAGGCTTGGAATGGATGTGAAAGGTAAACAAAGGAGGAGGATGCAATGCTTGATAAGAAATGTATGCATTATCCTGCCCATGTAATTGTAACCCCCCTGTACAGTATATTCACAAAAATAAAATAAAATATAAATTAAAAAAAAAAAAAAGAAATGGGCGGGCTGGAGAGAATGCAATGGGCAGAGAGGAACCAAAAACAATGGAGGTGGTTATGTTAGGTGCTACTGTGTCCATCCAGAGGGCATCAACTTTTTAATTCTTTTTTGTTGGACATGGGATTTAAACTCTGGGTCTGGACACTGTCCCTCAGGTCTTTCATTCAAGGCTGGCGCTCTACCACTTGAGGCACAGTAACACTTCCGGTTTTCTGGTGGTTCAGGGGAGATCAGAGTCTTCTGGACTTTCCTGCCCAAGCGAGCTTTGAACTGCCATCCTCAGATCCCAGCCTCCCTGAGTAGCTGGGATGACAGGCATGAGCCATCAGCGCCCATTTGGTCTTGCATATGTATCCGAATGGAATGATAATGCGTGTTTGCCCAAACTATCCTTGAATTATTCATTGCAGCTGAATGGCCAAGGCCTCAAAAACCTGGAGAAGTGAAGAGATGGCTCAAGTGGCAGAGCACCAGCCTTTAGAAAAGAAAAAAACAAAAAACAAAGCTTAGGAATAGCGCCCGAGCCCCAAGTTCAAGCCCCCAACTAAAAACACTAAACAAAAGAACTCAAAACACTTAAAAATAAAGTCCAGATGTCTGCCCACAGAGGAAAGGCCAATCAAACATTGGTAGGTTATGTCATGAAATCTTATTTGTCCCTAGAAAGGCCTAGATTTGATTCGAAAATGCCACGGCTTGGCTGAGCACGCTGTCAGAGAAAAATATCAATCTCCACACAGTCCATAGGGATGTAATTCCATGCTTAGATGATTCTAGAAATCACAGCATTGGAGGAGGAATGGCGGGCAGGAGAGAGGAGCAGATACAAGTTCGTAAAGATACAACCTGGCTGTATCCTGCTTGTGATCCTTAGTATAAAATTCCCTAAATTCAATCCTATAAATTCTCTAAATATAATACAGCTCTACAAATTCCAGAAATTAACAGGGAATTCTAGAAATTCTGGCAAAATTCTGAGCATTAATTCTCTAATATAATTCTATACATTCCAGAAATAAAGTCTATAAATTCTATACATTATCAGCTGGGAATACCAGGTCTCTTGGTATTATTTCTTTCCATGTGAATCTAAAATTACCTCTGAAGATGTTCATAATTTTTTTTCCCTGTGAGTTAGCTAGATAGAGACTTTGGCTGGAGTCATGGCTTAAAGTTTGATGGACAGTAGAGGAACACCAAGAAGGACTAATATGAATCTTGAAGATTTGAGCATTCAATAGCTGGAGAGAAAAAAAAAATTGCCCCAAATTGGCTGTTAGAAAGAGGTGTTGGCGCAATGCTGATGGCTCATGTCTGTCATCCCAGCTACTCAAGAGACTGAGAGGTGAGGATCACAGTTCAAAGCCAGCCCGAGCAGGAAAGTCTGTGAGATTCTGATCACCAATGACCACCAGAAAACCGAAGTGCCCAGGCCCTGAGTTCAAAACATATGATGGACAAAAAAGAAAATAAAAAAGAAAGCGCTATTGAAATAATTAGGGAATGAATAACGATGTCAGGAAATCAAGAGTCAAGGTAGAGATATGTATTTCCTCCCCCTGGAATTTGAGCAAGAGATTAAGCAGGACACTATGAACATTAATTTTTCTTCCTTTCACAAAGTGACTGATCAAGTTTGCACTCTTAAGGACAAGGATTGAAAGACTGGGTGGTAGATTTTTCACCCTGAATTTAAACGTGGATCTCAGTAATCAGGGACACTTACTATTATTGTTTTTGTATTATTATTATGATTATTATTATTTTGTCGGTCATGGCACTTGAACTCAGGGTTTGGGTCCTGTCCCTCAGCTCTTCAGCTCAAGCCTGGCTCTCTACCACTTGAGCCACAGCGCCACTTCTCATTTTCTAGTGGTTTAGTGGAGTTGAGATTTTCCAGCCTTTCCTGCCTAGGCTGGCTTTGAACCATGATCCTCAGATCTCAGCCTCCTGAGTAACTGAGATGACAGACAGGAGCCCCCGGGCACCTGACTGTTGTTATTATTATTACTGAAATTTATTTCAACTTGAAATTTATTTGCATAAGGTGGTTACATTTCAGATTCTTACTCTTAGTCTTGAAATTTATTTGCATCAGACAGATGCATTTCAAGTAATTATTACTCTTGAAATTTATTTGCATGAGGTGGATGCATTTCAGAGTTTTATTATTACTGAAATTTATTTGAATCATTTGGATGCCTTTCAAATAATTAATATTCTTGAACTGTATTTACACAAGACAGATGCATTTCAGATTATTAGTAATTGTTATTAGTCTTGAAATTTATCTGGATCAGGTGCATGCATTTCAGATGATTCTATTATTGGCATCAGACAGATGCCTTGAAAATGGAACATGGTGCCAACGTGGCATGAAGTTGGGCTGTCTGCAAGGTTTCTGGGAGTCGCAGGCATGCCTTGGTTCCCTGTTGGTGTGGTGGGTGACCAGAGACAATACGTGGCGAGCAAGCTGGGGGTCTAGCTCATTTTATCTTCTAATGCCAGGTGTGACCTACAATGTGGACTATCTTTTTTCTTATTTTTTGGCCAAGAGCCATGATAAAATTTAATTTAGTGAGGCTGGGCCAGAGGTTGCTCATGCATTCACTTATTTAGCTCCAACAGAGGGCTAGTTAGATGCTGTGCTTCCAGAAGAAAAAGAAAAGCCACTGGAATCAGAGAGCCAGGCCTAAGGTCTATGGTTTATGGGTAATGGCTGCTATTTTTTTCCTGAATTCTGAAGCTTAGCTCACCCATTTCTAATCACAGGGAACTAAATGTCTATGCAAGGAGAGGATTCATTTTAAAATAGCAATACTGGGTAGACACTGGAGACTTGCACCAAGAATTTAAATAAAAACAGGATGGGGAGCCAGGATTTGCACCCCTCTACCCCACTGAATATAAATTTAGTATTTTTCAGGAAGAATATATTTCCCAAGCAGTGACTTCATTTTGTAAAGCCCAGTATTATTGGTGGAGGAAAAAAATTCTCAAAAAAAAGAATACATACATACATACATATATATATGTATATTATATATATATATATATATATATGCATACCAAATCACTGTTACAGTAGTGATTAATTGATACTGAAACCAATCTCAATGAGCATATGAGAAGCAAGAACAGAATATGGAATTGGAAGAAATTTACATAGAAACGTCCATATATGAGAAAGGCTAATGTGATGTTTGATGAGAATGAATGATCCAAAATAAATGTACAGGGAAAATGGTTATGACCTGAATGGGAAAAGGAAGAAATAAGTCCTAAAAATATGTCATCGTGACACTCTCCCTTTCCACCCCCCATAAAACAACATAAAAAACTATGTGCTCTACTCAATGTTCTCCACAGAATATTTGCGCTATATAATCTCCCAGTAAGAAAGACAGACAGAGAGAGAGACAGAGAGATAGACAAATAGATAGAGAGAAAGAGAGAGACAGACAGACACAGAGAGAGAGAGAGAGAGAGAGAGAGAGAGAGAGAGAAGGAGAGAGACAGAGGTAATTCTTTCCAAGAAAAAAAAAGGAAATCTGCAGAAAGAAATAGAATTATATTTGTGGAAATTTCATGACTGTTCAGAGACTAGTGACTGATTGAGTAGTGACTGACTCCCTATGTTGGAAAAGAATGGACCAATTTTCTTTCTGGGTTGTTGGGTTCTGGGCTCCATGAGCCACAAAAGAATTGTGGATTTGCACCACCAGCCCATAGAAGGTGGCCAAGTGCAAGCAACATGTGGACAGATTTATAAAATGTCTGTGGATTATTATGGAATCAGGATACAGGATGGATTTTTCTGAGAGGACAAAATAAGTCAAGCATATTAAATGTTAAGTATTGGGAGAAAAAAAAAAAAACATTTGAAGAGTATTATTGTAGAGGAGGCAGAATTGATGGAACATTCA